TAGTTCTTAACAATGACTGAAACGGTAAAAAATACTTGAACATGATAAAAGAAAACATTAAATTCGGATAGTTGATTGACAATTTTGAACCCGATGTACAACATCTTATTAAGAAATTGTAAAAAGATATTGTTGGTTGATTTTAACTAGATTTGTTTGTATGAATTGTTGCTGCCTAAATACACCTGATAGATAGATAGATAGATAGAAAAAATCTAACATGTCGTAAGCCTCGAATAAAAAATTAAATATTTGGGAAATGAGTTGCAAATTTTCATTTCTCAATATGGCGTTTATTTTCACATTTCGTTTCAATTGGAGAGTGCAACGGGCAAAATTTGTACACATCGACACAGCCGGGGCGCAAAACACAAAGTGGAGAGATTTGACTGGCTGGTGAAATGTTGAGAGGGGGATCCCATTTCATTATATATATATATATATATATATATATATATATATATCGTGTGTTGTTATTATCTGGTGACTCAATTTGAAAATGCGCACAACACATTTTTACCTGTTATTACTGCCTTGGGTCTTGTAGTGTAAGTAGGGCTTACCCATTGTTTCCATGTATTTATTCATCCACTCTTCCTTTGTCAACCATTGTGACAATGCCAAATAGATAAAATATTACACTTAGAAAAAAAGGAAATGTTTACTTATTAATAATAAATAAAGGTGACTTCGAGCAAATGGTTCTTGTTCATATTGATCATCACGATACCAGCATGAGTTCTTTGATGGTGGTATCATTGGTTGGTTTTCTTCCCGAAGTCACACCAACGATTCTACTTATGGGATCTAGGAGGCTACATGTTGAGCGTGAAATTCTTATCCAGTAGATATTATCTCACGTGGGTCATGTAGGACGAAACTTCTGGAACACGTACAGTAATCTCTCCTTGACAACCTTGTCCGGTATTTCGATTTGGGGGTTGGCATTGAAATTTAGATTCTGCGGGAAGAAATATGGCGGGAAGATATGGACATGGACTTCGTTGATCACGGGCCCTAGGAGAATCATATGACGTGATTTTGTTGCACCTTACTATGTGCAGTTTGTTATATTCACCTGGTTATTTTCAAGAAACTATTTTCGAGTCGATAGATAGTACTCCGGGTACGCTGTTCTCTTTTCATTTTCTTTGTCAGATTGGAAGCTACCATGTTAATGCCCTCGATACATCTGGCAAAGAAGTGATAATGGGAAAATTCGACACTTTTGACGTGTAATATTGCGTTAGATCATCATCTGTTTATAGTCTCTAAAAAGATGCATTCTCAAATAAAAACTATGATTTATTATATATACACTATCAGACCAAGGGGAATTGAGCTGAAAAATCAGTTAATACTTTGGAAAACAGGAGAAAGGTTTGCTTTTCACAACTGAAGAGACGTTTTCTAAGGAGGGGAGGGGAAGATGTTTCTTTTAACACGACAATGCTCCTACCCATACGGCAGAAACCACAAAAATGTGGCTTAAATAAAAGTGCACCAGACTTGTGTTTTCAACTGTTCAGAATTCAAATTTGAAACGTGTAGAGAATAATTAGTCATAGTAAACTCAAACTAACAGGAAAACTTATTGAAGCCATCAACATTGGCTCTTTCTGTAAAAACCTATTTGCAATTTTGGTCACAAGGCTAAAACATTTAAAGAAAACCAAATGGAAAAGTTATTTCATACTAAGTATTCTTCAACGATAAAAAGTAATTTTAATTTGGTCGCCTCTGAATACAACCATAGTATGGTGTAAAGGTGAGAAATTGCTTTTTTCAATTTGTGAAAAATCAGTTATATTCAGATGTGGTAGATCTTCACTGGGAATGGTGTTGGCCTACTAACTCGGTTACATATAAAAAAATACTGCAATCTATAAGAGTAATATTGAACATCAGGTTGTTCTCTGTGTGAATCTCCTCGTCCTTACTTGTTTATGATGATAATGTCCCTGACATTCTACAAGAAAGCTGTGAATTATGTTTATGGTATGGCCCACACAGAATCAAAATCTGAATCCAGTTGACATATATATATATATATGTGTGTGTGGAGAGAGAGAGAAAACTAGTTTGGTGACTGCCAGTTTCAACCCTTCATAGTGATTCAGTTCTACGGCCTAATGAGATCTTTACGCTGGCACAGAAGTATGTAACTGACTCATAACATGCAATGTTGATTCCTGTCTATAAATAAATATCTTAGATAATGAGCACTCTCTCCCTGTAAATATAACAGATTTTAAACAATATGTGTGTGCGCGTGTGTACGTGTACTAGTTTTGTTCTTAAGATCTTATCTTCATGAGAAAAACACTCCGTCTCTCGCTAATTTTGCATTTAACTGTCGTTGTCTTGGTAGTTGCCGGATATATGTGAAGCACATATCGATTTTGAATCTCTCGATATTCGCAAGAAAATTACGCTTATCATGTGTTTAATAATTCTTTTCCGATTATTAACCTCAATAGAAATCGGTAATCTACGTTTATATGAAAAGAAAAACACATTTCAAACTACTTGTTACTCTATATTTCCGAAGTTTTATGTTACGGTGAAGGTGCCATTGCTAAATTTTCAAGACGGAGCTAATGGCCTGGAAATGACTTGGTAATGTCGTCGTACTAGTTATAACAGAGCTACCAATTCATCTTTTAAAGAAAATCGTAAATTTCATTTTTAAAGAAGTAATTTGAGTAATTTGTACGTTTCATGCAGGGCCATAATTTAGAAATAAGGTTTAATTACGCCATTTGTTTTCTTACACAGATTTCCAGCCACCATAATGCAACGCATCAAGGAAAACAACAATCCACAGTAATAAAGAACACACTATTAAGTCTACTAGTACTAGTAGTAGAACTGTTACTACTAGTACTACCACTTTAATCTTTATAATACTAAAACTCTGTGAACTTTGCCTGCTTGTGTGTTTGCCACCATGCACACGAAATCCTATACAGAGAGTGGGAGAAAGAAAGATGTAAATTTATTATTGTGTATGAAGTGGGAAGGGAAGGAAATGGTGCGTATACATGATTTGATAGTGAGACAAAAAGAAAAAAAAAACACTCTCCTTTCCACCTCTTTCTTTTTCCACTTCTCTCTCTCTCTCTCTTTCCATCTCCCTCTCTCTTTCCTCCTTCCGTGACTGCATCCTTATTCATGTTTCAGCTTTCTCTAAACAAACGATATTTTAAATATTTAAAAAATAATTTTTGCTATATTTAACAATATTTTCAAGTGAATATGATTTAAAAATACAATTTGTTTATACAGTAAGTATTTTTATTTCATCTTTCTTCAAACAGACACTTTTTTTTAATGTTGAAAGAATCTTCAATGTTTTATAATCTGAACCTTCAGTGACTCTACGCTTCACGGATAGTATAATACTAAAAGTCTATGAATCGAGCGTATGTCCGCCGTCGGGCGCATAATGATTTAAGGTTCTTTCCACCTTCCTCTTTCCACCTCTCTGTCTTTCCACCTTCCTCTTTCCACCTCTCTGTCTTTCCACCTTCCTCTTTCCACCTCTCTGTCTTTCCACCTTCCTCTTTCCACCTCTCTGTCTTTCCACTTTTTTCTTTCTACAACAAAGTTAAATTGATATCTCCTGCTCGAGATGCTTGCTTTGCTGTCTATACCTCCGTGGTTGAAATAGTAAAAACCATCTTGGCTACAAGATGGTTTCCGTAAGAATTTTTATTAATAAGACTTTCGATACTTTAGTCATAAACTCCAGCGTTTGAAAAGTAAAATAAATAAAAAATTGGTTTAAATAATAAATTATGTGGCATTAAAAGTTTTTACAAATTTCCATTAAAAAATGAATGTGTACTAGTGGCACCCCCGTCTTGCTTGGGGTGTAATGCTTATTAAAAACATCATTAAAATTCGTTGAAAGTTTTATAGTTTATTTATAAATTTTTGAATAAAAGATTTCTTTTTAAATTTATTTCTTTATAAAATGATAAATAATACATCTTTTTAAAATGGTAAATAACAAATATCGCATTGTACCTTGTTCACATATTTTTATAATCTTGTGAATTAACATTTCCAAGGCAGTCTCGATAGTTTTAAGTAATAAACCGTCCTACTGACACGTCGTTTTTTTGCGCGCACGAAGCTTGCCGAAAAAGATATGATGAAAATGACATAAGAAATTATTATGTCTATTAGAAAACACCTTTGTAATGAAGGTCGTCTTTTGCGCTTTTATGATTAACTAGCAGCCATACCCAGCTGATCGATCAGAAAAAGCGTTCAATTGAGCAAAAACAGCATCATGTACAGAAATAAACTACTTTAGAATACTTTCATTAAAAACATTTTGAATTAATGCAGTTACTGATATAACAGAAGTAGTCTGTATTTATTCAATCGAAGTTAGCCGAGGACATGAATGGGTAAAACAGGCAATATGAAGAGCCACTTCAGGTCACAATTATTATGGAGTTTTTGAAATTCAGTTTGTCAGTGTGCTACCAGGAATGTAAAAGAGGATACATTTATAAAGCACTTATCAAATTTGATGAAAATTGGTTAGAAGATCAACGAAAATAATTGTGAACTAGTAAAATTCGCCATTTTTCGCTATTTACGCGGGTGGACTTAATTATCAAATATAAAATTCGATTTGTTATTTTATAATAAAAAATAAATATTCGATTTGTTATTTTATTATTTTCAACGTTGTTGTTATCGTTGTCGCGAATTAAATTACTTGATATTTAATCGTCTGTTTAAATTATTTTTAACTTGTAAATAATTCAAAGTAATTGAATTGTCTGGGCGAAGATACTGACGATCGATTCTGTTGCTGTTCAAGGCATTATTTTCATATTATGATTTCCACTTCATTTTTTTTTTTTTTAACTTAAATATTTACTCACATTTCATGGAAGATCTTTTTATTTTGGTTTCAAATTCATAAGAAATTCAAAGTAAATTAAAATACTAATTTAATTTCCTCTCTTAATTTCCAGGTTTCCCGCTGACATTTCTAATACCGTGGGTTATCGTCCGAATGAAATATGAAAATATATTGTAAGTATAGGCAGAGCTTGACTTAATAAAATTACGGTTTTCTTTGTGAATACGTCGCTGTTACGCGCAAACTCATGTCATTTTTTAATGAAGTCGCGAAAGTCAATTCCTTTGAATTGGGAATAACTGAGAAAATGTTATATTTTATCCTTTTTTTTGTCTTGGATAAATGATTGTAAAATTTGGATTATCTTTATAATCATGGATATATTTTCATTTGACAATCTGCTGGATAATAGATTACGGGCCGATTAGAAAATCTTTATAGTTGCAGCAAATCTACGAGTATTCTACTATATTTTATTCAATACTATATATATATATATATATATATATATATATATATATATATATATATATATATATATATATATATACAACTTTCTGTCAAATGCTAAAATTAAGGTTGTGTTGAACGGGCTCGCTTCTAGATCCTTTCATACGAAGTGGGGGTGGGAGGGTAGGTGCTCCCAAGGTTCTATCCTGGCTCCTACGCTGTTTCTGATCTTCATGAATGACCTCATTGATGTCATCACTTCCCAACTAGGTATTTATGCAAACGCTGCTACCATTTACACTTGTCTCAGTAACAAAACCGTCAGATCTGACGAAGTAAACCTGGAAGCTACTATTGAAAAGAACCTCCATTCAGTGGTTAACTGAGGCAAGAAATGGCTTGTCAAACAAAACTGTTTTCATTTAATCACCTTTTCTACCTGCCATCAGCATGGCAGGTAGAAAAGGAAAGCAATGCACTACGTCTTCTTGGTCCTCTTGTTTTCCCTTGGCATGAAGTGGAGCGACTATATCGAATCAATAACTGCATCTACATCTTGGAGAATTGGATCAGTGTGTCGCACCAGAAAACTCTTCCCGTTAGAATGCATCCATTTACAAACCTAACATTCATTCGTGCATTGAATATTGTTGACATATCTGGTCCTGCTGCTTCTGCTGTACATCTCGAGATTCTTGACAAAATCCAAAGATGGAGCTGCAATGTAATCGATTCTGACCAGGCAACTAGACTTCAGTCACATCCTCACAGACGTGGCGTGGCTTCCATATGTCTTTTCTACAAATATTTTCATGGCAACAGCTCTGATGAACTTTTCCCCTGGTACCTCGACTATATGAATTTAAGCGTGCTCTTAGATTGGTATTTTTACTGTTGTAATAGCGAAATACAACTGCCACTTCTACTCCAACAGTTTCTTTTCTCGCACTTCCCACCTGTAGAACTCTCTTCCGTTTCCTTGCTTCCCTGATAACTACAATCTTCAAAAATTCTAAATACAACGTCAATCACCATCTGTTTTCTTGTCCTTTCCTCAGTCCTCTCTATTCTCAATCTCCTCTTTCACTTTAACTTCCTGTAACTCCTTGCGTACTAGTGACATTACCACCTTTGCTTAGGGTGAAATGATTAATATATATATATATATATATATATATATATATATATATATATATATATATTTTTTTTTTTTGATTTAATAACAAAGATGATGGAAAAAACAACAAAAACAAAAAGAAACTTTATGGGATTGGCTAGATTATACATCCAAAACACATATAAAACTCCTATCGTCTCTCGTTCGTGCAGATGTGTAGGCGCAAATAAACAAATCTAGTTCAATGTAGTCCTAAAGCTTAACATCAAGGCTCTAAAGATAATCGATATTTCCAGTGCAATTTGAAGGTTGGTGTATCAAGGACTGATGATCAAATAACAAATATATATATATATATATATATATATATATATATATATATATATTCCCTAGGGTAACACAGGTTCCAATCCGACCAGGCAGCACATACTTTTCTGTAATAAGATTTCTCGAATGTTCAGGCTGGTAGACGAAAATAAATAAATATATTGTCTAATAAATAAATACAGCTTCTACTCAAATACGATTATCCACTATGAATGGCATTCAAGTAATAAATACGTCGAGCATCCGTTCGCTACATCCGTGAGATCGTCACCCCCCCCCACCGGATAGATTCCGCCTGCGGTCGTCCAACGACATATGTGAGGCATTTCGACATCATTTTCAGAACCGATTTACCGAGAAGCCGGGACACTGTGACGATAATTTTCGCAGCTATTTAGCCGATTTCCCTCGATTTTCGTCGACTGAAGTCTCCAGGACTTGATGGTGTGCCTTTCGAATTGCATTTGAAGTTGTCGCACATGTTTGTTCCGATTTAGTGGTGTTCAATAACTGGTTCCGACAGGAGTCCGTCCCCAACCGGATCATCAGGGGTGTGATCACGCTGTTGAGAAAGGCCAAGCATGGTGTGGGGTGGGTACTTGGACGATTACAGGCCCATAACTCTGCTAAACACAGATTTGGCCAAGTTCCTGACAAATCATTTGCAGTCAGTTGCTGAGCTTCTGTTGGAATCGAAACAGACTTTTGCTGTGAAGAGCCGAACAATTTATTACTGGCAAAGGCAGGAGCGGCTCCGAAGGCAGTTGTCCTTAAACGGTAGGGATCAGGTGCATTCTTTCTCCTCATCCTTTATCAGTTATCAGAAACATAGGCAGGCGATCGAGCGGTTGCTGTTCTCCCTCTTGTGGAATGGACGCAAGCCGAAGCTCGTTTGTGTCCAACGTCCGTGTCATGGGTGGCTAGGAATGCCACACTTGGAGTGTCATCAACTCGCCTCAAGGTTGGTTTTCCTACGCCAAGAAGATTCGCTCTGGGTGAGGAGTGTTAGGGCCGCCTTCCCTAGCCTTACCATAACTCTTCCCAGATCTGAGGCTGAATGCCGTCGTAAGCCCCGGAAATAGTCCGAATTCTTCCACGAGTGTCGAAAGGCCTTGCATGCTATTCTGCCCTCCAATAACCTTTCACATTCTAGGAGGACATTGTATCGGGAATTAGGGGAAAAGGTCGCGTTGGACCCAATCTCTAATCCTCTCAGCTTATCGGCGACCGAGTTGCGCTCTTTCTGTTCCTGGGCGCCAGCGACGAGTTACTCCAGTAACCCCGAGTTTTCGCTTAGCTGGCAAATTGACCCGGAACGCATTATCTCTCAATAATATGGACTTCAAAGTGGGCTGAGCAGATATGCCTGACTGTTATTGGAAGAAACGGCTGCGCACGCCATCTACCACTGTTCTTATGTGCGCCCCTTCTGGGTTCATGTCGGTGAGTTGACGGCTCGTATCTATCCCGAACATCTTGTGCACATTGATCTCGTATACACGTGCAATAAGGTGTCGACCCCGTGTTCTGGGCTGAGGCGTATGGTGTATGGCTAATGCTGCTAGCCGTGGTAAGGATGGGTCGTGGACGACGCGGATGGAAGGAACATTACGATAGGAACGTTATTCTAATCAGGATCTGGTTGGATTCTTTCGGCATCAGCTCAAGAGGAAGATCAGAAAGCGTTTGTTATCGGCAGATTTCAACGAAAGATGGATATAAGTGGCGAGCTTAGTTTTTGTGAGCAGGACCAGTCTCGATTTTCCTTTTTAGTCGCCCTTTGACACAATGGAGCAGTTTCCTATTCGGCCCCTCCCCTGGTTAAACTAGGCACCTTTGTTTATCTCGTAATTGTTGTTCCCGTTCTGCTTCCGGCATTCTCTTTTGTTATGATGCAGATCATGATTCCCAACCTCCCCAGTTTGTTTTTGTTTCCGCCCTCATTTTATCCTGACTGGATCAGCCTTTGATAATTCTCCACTCCCAAATTTATTTTGTTTCTTCCCTGTCCCTAGCGAATGAGCTGCTTGATTCTGCTTAGCAGCAGAATACAACAGGCTCTTTTATTTTTCTGTCGGGTGGACCGGTCCTACTAACATATTTTAATTTCGTTATTGGGTACATCCCCTACTCCTGCATTTCATGCCTTGATTTGATATATTTTTATATAAAACTGATGTGGGGCCAAAGTCGGGACCACAGAAGGAAAACACGGAACACGGATTAGATGTAAGAAAGATATATTAAACAGAAAGGTTACAAAGATAGTGTAAGCGGAGCTTACTATATGTTAGTGTCCAATACTGGTAGTCGTACGCGGATCTCTCTGTCTCTCAGTGTGTCTCTGACTAGAGTGTTATGTTGCATACTTAATATAAACCTGGAAGAATCTATTGTGTAGGTAGTTCCGGTCTCACAATACTCCCCTTCCAAGAGTTTTCTTTTTGAAAAAGAGAGAAAAAAATAAAACTGTTAATACTTTTTGCTCTTGGGATTTACGTCAAGCGGTTGAGTAAATTTCCTTTTCCTTCCTGAACGTCGCACTTCAGGAGAGACTTGGGGTATGTCGAGATCGAACTAGAGATCTTGATGCGTGAGCCACAGCTTTTTGCGAACCATCTGGCAGTTTATATAATGCCATACAAGCATCAATGCCACTATGATGAGACTTGGGTCACTTGGGACCATGATGTCGAGAAGTATTTTCCTCACCTAAAATGTTAATCTTTTCGCATTACGGGTTTTGCCATTTTTTATCCGTTTTTTAAAAGGTCGGGTTGTTTTAAATTTTCATGTTTTTAATTAGGTAGTTAATCGCTGAAAAAAGAATGGACTGATTGAAAATATCCACTGTTACATATTTTCTTAAATTTTATCGTCAAATGTTTGTTATTCATTGAGCTTGCCTAATTTTATTTTTTTGGTTTTTTCGTTTTGTTGGCGTTCCAGCACGAAGTTAAATTTTGCCCAAAATATTGTTTTTTTTGAATATTTTTGTTAACCATTTTTTTTTTAAAAAACTGCCATTTACCATAATTTTAAAATGGTCAATTATCATTTTTTTTCTTTAACCTAATTTGAAATTTTAATGTTTATTTAAAATTTTTGAACTTAACTTTGCCTTTTGTCAAAAAAGATGGAATTTGAAAATAAAACAAAGCAGGTTCTGATTTTATTAATGTGATGAATGATATATTTACGATTCCTGAGGCTAATTTGTTTGAGTCAGAAAAAGTGAAATAATTTACATTTATTATTTACCCCGTTATTTTTAACCTC